CAATATTCACCATTTTATTACCCCAAGTAAAATCTCTATCCAATTCCACCCATTTACCAATTTTTTAACAATTTCCTTCTTCATCATATGATCCACCACCACTATATTTTCTAATAATCATAAATAGCTACATTTATATATATTTCTTTTCATCACCTTTAAAATAACTAATATCCCATCTTCCTACCTTCATTCCTTTGATATTATATTCACCACTATTTTTGATTTATTTATAAAAATTAAACCCCTCATCCAACTCTACCCACTATCCAATCTTTTATTTATATCCCTCTTCCGCATATGATCCACCCCCACTAGGACATTACTATAATTTTAATACATTATTGTTTTCTCAAACTTAATATCCCATCTTCGAACCTTCAAACCTTTCATATTGTATTCACCATGATAAGTGACTTATTTACCAGAATAAAACTCATCATCCAATTCTATCCACTTTCCAATTTTTTTCTAATTTCCTTCTTAATCATATGATCCTCCTCCTCTTTATTTCCTTATACTTACTAAATATTACATTTATTTAAAAATTTTCTCGTTTTATTTACAATACTAAATATCCCATCTTCCAACCTTCGCAACTTTCATATTATATTCACCACTATAAGTTACTTATTTACTATTAAAAAACCCATCATCCAATTCTATCCACTTTCCAATTTTTTTCTAATTTCCTTCTAAATCATAAGATCCTCCTCCTCTTTATTTCCTTATACTTATTAAATATATACATTTATTTAAAAATTTTCTCGTTTTATTTACAATGCTGAATATCCCATCTTCCAACCTTCACAGCTTCCATATTATATTCGCCACTATAGATTACTTATTTACTGTTTGAAAACCCATCATCCAATTCTATCCACTTTCCAATTTTTTTCTCATTTCCTTCTAAATCATAAGATCCACCACCACTATAAAAATTTACATTTATATTCCCCTATTACTCATATAATATTTACATTTATTTATATTAAATTTCATTACATTTACAATACATTATGTCCCATCTACCAACTTTCGTACCTTTCATATCATATTCTCCATTATAAGTAACCTTAGATTCGTACCGAAACTCTTTAGTTAACTCTATCCATTTTCCGAATTTCTTCTAATTCTCTTCACAGATGTAATATCCACCTCCGCTAACAGATGATTATTGTAATTTTATAATATTTACATATATTCGAATGATTAAGTGCTGTTTTATCTATAAAGAATATCCCATCTACCTATTTTATTTCCATATTAATTATATTCTCCAATACAAATAACTTCTTAAGTGCAAGAAAATTCTTCACTTAACTCAATCCACTTCCCAATTTTTAGAGAACCATTTTCATTAAAACATCCTCCTCCTCTACAAGAAAATATGAATATAATTCTAATTACATTTGCTTCTTCATATGGATATGGGCTCCGTAAATTATCTTGTACCAAATATCCCATAAACCTACTTTTTAACCTTTGGAGTATTCACCACTATACGCAATTTATGAATACTCCGAAAATCGATCACTTAATTCAATCCATTTTCCTTATCTTATTCCTTTTTAATCGTATAAGCCTCCACCACTTTTTTAAATTAGAAAATAATAATTACATAACTTCACCTTAATAATAATACTTCCAAGTCCCTCTTCTATAATCGTCTTCATATTCTCCAACCTCATAAACTTTAGCATTACTAAAATATATAAGAAATATCTATACTCATAATAATTTTTTATCATTTCCTTCCAATTACCTTATTTTTTGCCTTTTTGGGTGTACTAACCGCCAAATTCTTTTATAGGTTCTTCCTTCCATATTGCAGTCCATGGTCCAACTTTAAAAAAATCTTTTTCTTATTTCCCTACCCATTTGAGATGTTTGATAAGTTCTAAATTCGTAATTATCTCTGGTCCTGCTTGCAAACCATAATTTTAAAATCTTTATCACAATATAAAATTATACTTATAAAGGATTTCTCTATTTTAAACATAATGTAGTTCTTTTTAATTAATAAAATGAATTTAAAAACGAGTTATTTTCAATTAACTTTTCTCCATTATTAAACCTTCATATTCTTCAGTTTTTACTTTCAAGTTTATCGAAAGAAGTTTTTCGGTCTCAGTTTTAAGCCAAGAATTAACTTCATCTAATTTATTGAAATAAGTATTTTTAAATGATTCCAGATGAATCATTATTTGATCATTAAAAACATTATTTAATCTTTTGAGCTATTCTCTTTAATCTTCCAATTATTATTCTAGCATAATTTCAATTTAAATGAGGATTGTCATATAATTAGGGGAAAATTCAGGTAATTTATTATTCATTTTATTTTAAT